TGAAACCGCACTAATCGAGAATATTGAAAACGTATCAGAACAAAAGATACTCATTTTCAAACCGGATTTCAGTGAATCCGGACTGATTGAAGTCGGACTATGAAGAAATAAACTAGTTGAATAATTACATTATCGAAACGATTCATTAGTTTGAGGATTTGCCGTATTTTATTGATTTCTGTTCAATTTAATTAATTCGAACTGTATAAAATAAAAAGCGTTTAAGAGTAAATATGATTCATTAAATTTTAATTGCACAATCGTGTAGAATTGAATCAAATTACGGAAAACAAGGTTTTATATGCAGCAAATAAAATGCATGAATTAACACCTTCAATTTATAATGATTGTTACAGTTATGCGAATAAATTTGTACTTTATTTCCAGTTATTAAAATTAAGTAATATTTAAATTGTAAAGTAATTGTAGTTAGTCATTAATTATAATTATATCGTATATAATAATACTTTTTATATAAGTTTAAGTATTCACTTTACTATCTTCATTCAATGTGTTTTCCTTCGAGGAGGAGTTGCAGTTGCTTGATAAATCCCATAACTGGAGGACCGTTATATCCATTAAGCACAGGGCCCACGAGGTTTTCCGGGTCCACGGTACTTTGCGGGGCCCACAAAATGTATTGTACAAAAATAGTTGAAATTAGAATATATATTTTGTTGTTATAAACTCACCTCGACGATGTACTTAAATGCTGCTTAGGGCCCACGATCACTTTAATGTGGCCTTGTTCCGTACAACCGCAATTGTTTAACGATGGTTTTGCCAAAGCAATTTGTTATGCAACGACAGTTCCTACTTTCTTACCAGCAGCAAATAGTTGCCAGAATTTAATTCCACAAACTCGAGCTGGACCGCAATTTAGTTGAAACCTAATCAAAATACTTCGATATACTTATAAATTGTATTGTTTCTTACGGTATTCATTGGTTATCGTGGGCCTTAGGCACCAGTTAAGTATTTTAGCAACTTAACATTAAAAAATATATTTTTATAATTCAAATATTTTCAAAAATTCTTGTTTTATATATATTTTTTATGGTAATCTTCTGTTTTTAGAGTTACAATACTGTGGGCCCCAAAAAAATCTAGTGGTCTTCAAAAATTATCATAGACGCACTCTAGTGTGTCTAATTGATAAGACGGCTCGAAGAAGGCAATATTATTTAAGAATTTATTATTTAATACGGACACAAGTTAGTGGAAGACAAGTTGAGAATTGCTACGCAAGCGAAACTCCTGTTTTCTCGTCTTCGGATAACAAACAACATTGTTAAATCCGTCCGCTATTCCAGAGAATTCCAGTCGAACCCCGCGGGTATTAGTAACTTGATTTGCGTTCGGACAGATCCAAACTCCCAACTTAAACTATCTTCCCCAACTTTTATCATCTAAGCACCAATTATTTGATTCCTAGTGCAAATTTTCACCACAAACAGTTTACTCAACCACTCTAGTCAATAATTTAATTTCATGTAATTTAAACACCTTTTTTTAAATTAATTATAATTGTTAATTTTTCAATTACTTCATATTTATTAATTATATTCAAATAGTGTATATATTTATTCAAAAAAACTTTAATACATATGTTCAAGTGATTATTTTAAAAGTACATGTGTGTTTATAATTGTATATTATACCTTTTCTCTGTTAGTTTGATATTTTTGGTGATGTATATTTATTTTGTATAACATTAATATTATGATTATCTGACATTGCACAAATTAGATATTTTCTGATATTTTACTTATTTTAACCATAATAAACTTTACATAATTATTATTATTTATATACTTAATTAAATTTTTTGCTAACAATATATTTGATAAAAATGTATTTAAACATAGAGAAATTAAGATATATTAAAATTTATATGAAATTATATATAGAAATACCTCGAATATCACTATTTGAAACCGGACTAATCGAGAACTTTAAATCCGAATTTATGTAAAAATGATGTATATATAAAAAATTTCAAACCGCACTATATCGAATCCGAACTGATCGAATCTACACTATGCAAAATATTACTATAAATTAAATATAAATGTACATAATAATACAAGTACACATAATTCAATTTCAGTATTTCAATGTGTATTTAGGTTTTGATTCAACTCAACTGTAAATTACTATATGAACAATGGAATCGACAAATAATTTATTTAAATAAAATTTAGTGGATTTAGCAGTATCTGCTTTTGTTATTTGAGTTCACGTTAATCACGAAATCCTACATATGTGAATATTATTTGATTGTGTTTAATATTATTAAATCATTGATGTACTACAAAATGTCATAAAAGAAGCGTTACCAGCGTTTTTACCAAAAAAATTTATATTCCAAATGCAATTAGGAAGATTATAAAAAAACTAGTTTAATTAAATTATTAACAAGAAAAAAAGTATTTTTTTAATAAAAAAACATTAGTATTTTCATACAAGTCTGTTGTAATTTTTAATAAACTGTTTGTTTAGTTTTTAATTCATATGTAAATAAATAGACAAAAGCGGGATTTTTTTTAATTTCCTTCATCATGTATATTTTTGGAAATAAAATTTTGTTAGAAAAGACGTTAGTGAATTCCCTAATCTGTTATTTATTTAACATTGTAAATGAGTAAAACAAGGTATGTCTATGGATATATAATGAGTAAATTGTATTACTTTATAAAAAGGCTGAACTAACTTTGAAATATACTTGAGATGAGCTTCATCAATTACACCAATTCCTCGCATAGTGCGGCTTCGATTTGTCCGGAATCACTGTAGTCCGGACTGATTCGTTTTTCCCCCTTTTATTTTTATACAATCATGTCTCATGTTTGTGCGGTTTATTTATCTATGTATTTAAATCCTCGATTAGCCTGGTTTAAAATAGTCGAAGATATTGGCAAAACCGATAACCCGCACTATGCGAGGTATTGCTCTAATTGTAAAGTACGCAATGAAAATATACTACATATAATATCAAGAAAGAATCACCTGATCTATTTTTTTGTTAACCTTATATTTGTAACAAAATTACTTTAGACAAATTCTATTTTTTTTGTGTATGTTATATAGCTTTTGTAATATTTATAAGTAAATAATTATGTCAATAGAGATTCAAAGTAAATATATTGATAGCATTGATTTCCAGTTTGCTGAAAACTGAAGTATTATAATTTTGTATATTCAAAATGCAATTAGGAAGATTATAAAAAAACTAGTTTAATTAAATTATTAACAAGAAAAAAAGTATTTTTTTAATCAAAAAAAAAACATTCATATTTTCATACAAGTCTGTTGTAATTTCTAATAAACTGTTTGTTTAGTTTTTAATTCGTATGTAAATAGACAAAAGCGGGATATTTTTTTAATTTCCTTTATCTTATATATTCTGGAAATAAAATTTTGTTAGAAACGACTTTCGAGTGAATTCCGTAATCAGTTATTTCACATTATAAATGAGTAAAACAATGTCTATGGATATATAATGAGTTAACTGTATTACCTTATGAAAGGCTGAAATAACTTTGAAATATACTTGAGATGAACTTCATCAATTACACCAATTCAGTTTTTTTCCTTTATCATGTCCATTTACCCATTTACCCAATGACAATATACTACATATAATATCAAGACCTGACTTAAATTTTTTGTTAATCTTATATTTGTAACAAAATTACTTTAGACAAATTCTATTTTTGTACCTATATTAATATAATCTTTCTATATCATTTAAATTGTAATAGCTTTTGTAATATTTATAAGTAAATGGTTATGTCAATAGAGATTCAAAGTAAATATATTGATAGCATTGAATTCCAGTTTCCTGAAAACTGTAGTATTATAATTTTGTATATTCAAAATGCAATTAGGAAGATTATTAAAAAACTAGTTTAATTAAATTATTAACAAGAAAAAAATATTTTTGTAATAAAAAAACATCCGTATTTTCATACAAGTCTGTTGTAATTTCTAATAAACTTTTTGTTTAGTTTTTAATTCGTATGTAAATAGAATTTCCTTTATCATATATATTTCTGGAAATAAAATTTTGTTAGAAACGACTTTAGAGTGAATTCCGTAATCTGTTATTTCACATTATAAATGAGTAAAACAATGTCTATGGATATATAATGAGTTAATTGTATTACCTTATGAATGGCTGAACTAACTTTCAAATATACTTGAGATGAGCTTCATCAATTACACCAATTCCTCGCATACTGCGGCTTCGATTTGTCCGGAATCACTGTAGTCCGGACTGATTCGTTTTTCCCCCTTTTATACAGTCATGTCTCTTTTTGTGCGGTTTATTTATCTATGTATTTAAATCCTTGATTAGCCTGGTTTAAAATAGTCGAGAATATTGGCGGAACCGATAACCCGCACTATGCGAGGTATTGTTCTAATTTTGAAGTACCCAATGAAAATATACTACATATAACATCAAGAAAGAATCACCTGATCAATTTTTTTGTTAATCTTATATTTGTAACAAAATTACTTTAGACAAATTCTATTTTTTTGTGTGTATGTTATATAGCTTTTGTAATATTTATAAGTAAATAATTATGTCAATAGAGATTCAAAGTAAATATATTGATAGCATTGAATTTCTGTTTGCTGAAAACTGTAGTATTATAATATAGAGTTAACAGAATCGATAAGGGCTGGAGACGAGGGTACAATTAACACAGCGAGCATACACTCCTCCCTCGTAATTCTATCAGTCAAATAGAATCAGCTGTCAAGAGAGGAGACGCGTTGGTGTGTGTGTGTATCTATATATCTAGTCATGGAAAACATTTTGTATAGATGCAGGAGAGTATCTGTAAAACGGCGTGGGAACACCGCACGTACACACATCTAGATAGAACAATGATGGAGCAATGTGATAATTAAATGGCGATGTGTGCGGGTTGGTTTTAATGGAAAAGCAGAAATTTGCGGAAAAGCGCATTTCTCCTTGGCAACATACTTACCGGAATGATAGCGACTCTCATTACGGGTGAGACGTCGATTTCCACGTCGGAAGGCCCTTGTGGCAGGACTGACGCCCCTCGACTCACCTCCGGCAGCTACACATGCAAAACAACAACAACAACAACACTCAACATGCAAAAATAAAAAGAAGAACAAAACAAAAATAAAATAATAACGGTAACGACGACAACGACAAAACAGAAACTCATTAACAAACAACAACGTGTGGATGAGAGCAAACGTGAAACAAAAGTGTGAACCAATAGCATTAGGTGATTTGTGTAAGCGACATGCGAACAAGCAAGTGGGCAAATTAGCCAAAAATAAAAATGAAATGAATTAAACAAATTATATATGAATGCAATTGAAGTGGTAAACAATAAAAAAACAATTAAGAAATAAAAAAAGAAAACGAGTAAAATGCGAAAGGGTGTATGAAGGGCGAACCTGAATGATATCTCTTCTCGTTTTGCGTGACGCGGCGCTGCGTGCGGCGTCTCGTGTGTTGTTTTCCGACGCCGTAGCCACCGCCGCTATTTCCGGCATTTCCATTTCCGGTGCCGCCATCGTTCCCAGAACTTCCGGCTACGACACAGACACACACAGGACACACATGAACACAACGTACCCATCGATAAATAATAATAATCATAAAAATAACAACAACAATAATGATAATAAGAAAATAAAAACGAAACAAAAATAAAGTAAAAGAAAATTTAAAATTTAAGGCAAAACCCCCCCCATTTTTATCATGCGCAACGTAAAATCAGAAACAATCCCAGAGGTGGTCTTCTGTTGAGTGATATATGGGCCATCCGGGGAATGCATACTATATTTTTTTGCACGTAACATGAAAATTTCACAATTTCACTGAAAAATATGCTTACTGTTTTATACTTGCTGTTTGATTTATGAAATGCACAGTGAACAACGATACTTAACTCTTCGAGAGGACAGAAATTCCTAAATTTCTAGACACAATTTTAGACAACTGAATCAGACAACATTAGATCATGATTTATTCCTTGACTAACAAACTAAGTTAAATAGCAAATTCATGTACATTTTCTAGAAAATTATGCCTACTAGACATGTTCAAAAGGTGGTACATTATGTAGTACCACCGCCTCTCAAAGAGTTAACTGAAACAGGGGCGAATTTAGGTATGATCTTCATAGACTGCAGCCAGTGGAATCAAAGGCGGTCAAGGCAAGCAGTGTTAGTTGAGAGTCTTAATCAGTGTTAGGACACCTATAAGTAACTCGTAAATGTGTTTGCTAATTTGCAAATTAAGGGTGAAAATCGAATCAACGTTCAATATATTTTACTCCTCAAATGTAAACATTAACATGTGTTAGGTATACCAACATTAGTTATCATTATGTCTAATGATAATGGCAGTAAATTGACAGGTAAATTTTATTTTGACAACATAAAAAATGTTGGTGCGCCTGACTGACGTTACTTATCACGCATAGTGAGGATGCAGCTTACAAAATGTTACAATGCCTTAAGTCCTAAACATAATTAATTTAATCAGAAATATTCACTTTATTAAATAATATATGAATGTTAATAGTAGGTACCAAACAATAGTAGGTACTAGTATTTTTCATTGTGCAATATTTTTTTCAATAAAAATAAGATTAATGTAGAAACATCATTGATATTTGCAAAATTTAAATAAATATGTAAATAAAATAATCAATGTTGTATTCTGATGAAAAGAAAAAGTTAGGTTAGGTTGTATAAATAAATTGCCATATGTAAAAATTTTGGAAAACATAGGTGTCTGTAACAAGACGTCTCGATTTTATTTTATTAATCCCCAAATTTTTGTAAATACAATAAAAATTAAGTAAAAAATACTTCTTGTTTATAAACTTCTTAAAATTAAACTCGATATTCTTGATTATAACTGTTGGTTGGAAAAAATTCTTTGAAAGAAATTTAATTTTAATCCAAATTTTCCTAATATAAGAAAAAAAACTTTTCACATCCCTGATCCAATATCTAAAATTTTCAGAAGTTTAAAAAAAGTTTCTTTTTTTTTATACTTGAAAACTTGATTAATTCTTTGCAACAACTTTTTATATTTCAATCTATAATTATACCAGAAAACGTTAAATATTACTCAATAATTCATTACAACACATTGACCTAAAACGGGTTAATAACTTGTTCAATAATTTATTAAAATAAACACTGATTTTTTTTCTGTTTGGTTGATTTTAATCAAAACTAACGTGAACGAAATCAAAGAGAGACGTGGCAACAATTCGCATTAATTAAACGAATGCATCTTTTAATTAGTGATTTTAATTAACATCAACTGTTATACTAGTTAATTATTTTGCACAAATGAAGGGCTAACGTTTCCATATAATTGCTCTATTAATATCACAGAGAGAGAACAATGTTTACTTTTTTATATTCTAGTTGTTGTTTTGTGGCATTATTGATTCCACCGTTGCATTTCAAATCCAAATATGAAATACTTTAATTGGCATATGTCTACTAATTAATTAATTATGAATTAAAATATATATATATTTTTTTTAAATTTCATTTCATAAATCAACTAATAATATTAATGACAAAATTTTAACTTTGATAATCAATTAGTTGATTGTACTTTTGTAATAGCTGCTTACAAGTTCGTTTCAATTTAGTTAAGTGCAATCAGTGAGGATTGCGTTTTCTTGGAATGGTATAGATTTCTTGTTTTATGATGCAACTCATATACCGAAGACTAGATTGAAATTGCAGGACTTTAAACGGCACTTATTTGCATGAAATAAAATGAATCTTCTGAAATAATACGTTTTTTCTTCTTCAAAGACATTGTAACAATTCAAATAATTGAATTTCGTTGAAAACTAGTTGAGCAGAAAAAAAAATGTTGCAACAAGACAAAACAGCATTCCTCGTAGAGAGAACCCAGGGAACAACGATCGTTTACCTTATGAAGCCGTGTATACTACATACAGTGTACGAATTAATTGAATGTATCGAAATGTGGCCGTCAAATTGCGGAAGCAAATGTGCTAATAGCTGTGTATTCATATCTGCAGCAAGTTAACAGTGAAATTTCATGAGCATAAACCTATGCAATTAAATCTACACAAACGCAGTTTTTTTTTTGGAATGATCCCGTCTCTCACAGGAACGCAAGTAATACGGGTTTTCTGCATTTTGTTGTTGTTTTTGTTGCAGCATTCTTGACGGGGATCAGAGGCGTTTCGTATGCAATACTCAGTGCAGATCCGAACCCACCCACTGTTACGGACGGCAGCAACGAGTGTTTGCTCGAAGATATGCGGGTCGCTTTACGTTTGCAATAAACAACAACTAAAGAAACGAAAACAACAAAACTCTTATTATCCGTAGTCACCTAACAGACAGGTACAGTTCGTCAGGACTTGAGGACATGTAACAAAACTGACTTTACCGTTCCTCAACTACGAGAATAACACAAATAACTTCAGCATCTGATTTTGTTTAATGTCGAACGAAATGAATCGAAATTGCTGTGAGTTACAATACAAATAACATCCCCCAAAATAATGGAAATAATAATAACAGTAAAACAAAACCAACTTTTTGTTGAGATACTCACTTGAATTTTGTTTAGGCACATAGGGAGTAAGTAGACGTGTCCTCTTCTTCTCGTATCCTTTTTGAGTAATGTCCCCTGAAAGCAAACACAGAAGTTTTTCAATGAGCGCTACCAACATTCGCTGCAGTGGATATATAAAATTTTCACGGAAAATATGAACGATAAAAGAGGAAATGGAAATGATTTCCTCCGCTGGGAAAAGCAATATATATATATACACGTACATGTCTCTCTCTTTCTCTGTGTGTACTTAATATTGTACGTTTCCGCGTGCAAAGAAATTTAATAAAATTTGCATAAGCGTGACGCTTGAAATGAACCCCTTTTCATTATTCGCTTTTCTTCTCTGCTAATAACGAAACCCTCGGGATTTATTAAGAGGCTGGCAGCTTAATATATATTTTTTTAGGGTTATATTTATAAAATATGATTCGCTTTGCCTTTGCGACGCCGAAGAGAGAATCGTGGTTCCATTTAATTGTTTTCTTCATAATACTCACGTCCACATAATACAATTAATATTGCGCTTCATATCTTCAATATTATATGAGTAATAGATAAAAAATATCTAGAATTAGTAATGTACAAAAAAAAACTTCTTCATAATACTTAAATCCATGAAATACACTTAATTCACGATCAATATTACTTGAATATAGTCTTTCTTTATTAAAAATATTTTAAATATATGATTCAAAAAATAATCTTAAATGTCGCAATTATTTTGAAACAAAAATACAAAATTTCTAAATTATTTGAAAATTTATGACTAGTGTGAACGTATACATTTTTACAGCATTCTTATTGATTTTGTTGTATTAATGATGAACAACATTTAATGTTTAATTTAAATAAGATCATGAGGATGGAACATTTTTATATATGTTTAAATGTTTCAATAAATATTGTTAAGATCATCTCTATATAAACTTTATACAACGACAAAAGTTCAAGAAAAAAGAATCATTAAAATCATTTAATATAGCACGAAGAAAACGTGCTATTAATATCACATTTTTAAGTGCTTTAATCGAAAGTTTTTAACCTGCAGGTCGCAACAAATTGCAATTTGTTATTGAAAAAACGTATTCACCATCACATTTATTAATAAACGTGATTATTATGTAAGAAATACACGTAATTTCTTGTGATTTTTCTTAATAAATATTTTTCATAATTAATAATTACTATAATTTATATAAGAAAAGATTTCGCTTACGTTTTCTATTTTTTTGTAAACTTTCTTACAAAAAAATAACAAAATTAAAATAACTATTCATTTTAATTTAGTAATTTTTGTTACAAAATATATAGTCATGATTCAATTTAAATTATATAAAGTTAAGATTATTCTTGGACAATTCAAATAAGAAATTTAAAACAATCTAATAAGAAAACCAACGATTTGTACAGATTTCAACTTATAAAGTGATAAATCATGGAAAACTTTTAATTTCAAGAGTTAATAATTGTTCGTCTGAAAAGATTTTTATTACAATTATTATTGGATTTTCAAAATCATTTATCTCTAACTAAAACCTGTTTATTGCTATTGTTCGAACTTAATCAAATACATAAATTAATTATAATCTTGTAAGAACTTCTTATTTATTTCGACCTAAATTGTAACTTTGTGAATTTTCCAAATATATACTTTTTTCACTGAAACACAAACTCTCCAAATAAAATACAATTGTTGCAAAACCTTGAACTACATTCATGTAATCGGATTCGAATCCGTTTTGTTAAAAATCGAAGCATTTAAATGATTATGTTTCACTTTATTCGGACGTCGTTCGCAAATGGAAATCTGAAAGGACGCGGAGGAAGGACATAACATTACAATTTTCAATTTCGCGCAGTGTACTTTCCGGATCAAAAACAAGAAAAAATAAAAAGTAAATCCGACAAAATTATATTTGCTTACAGCGTAAATCAGGATTTGCAGCACTCGCCATCTCACAAATAGCAAAAAAGCGCAGGATTAAGCATCCAAAATCTCACTGAACCAGCAAATGACGCAGGATAATGCACGTTGTATGTTTTTTGGTATATGGGTTAAGTACAAGAAGAAAATTGTGCAAAGTTTGCACAATTTTTTGTTCGGCTCGAATCTGCTTAAATTATAATTTTAAATTACCAATTACTTTTTGTGTATAAAACTTAATTATTTCATTTATTATATAAAAATAATATTTCATTTATAAAATATTTGAATAATTTGTATACAATTTAATTAATTTTACGTATTGTTAATTACAACTAAACCATATTACAGCTGCTAAACTGTTATAAAGCAAATTATGTTCCATTATGCACGCATAATAATCCTATTGTCGTAAGCTAATGGAACGAGTAACGAATTATTAGTTTACTGTTGCTTCTGACCAGAAAAATGTAAATTATAAATAAATACAAAAGATGACAAAACACAGAAGTAGGTCTTCCGAAAATACACGAATTTAGTTCGATGGTCAAATGTAAACTGGGTAATGATAACAGTAACAAACTTAAACAGAAGCGACAACAGATTTCTATAAATAATGGAAAAAAGAAAATCACTCTTCTGAACTGTTAATAAATTGTAACGAGAAGTTGACACAAATTGCGTAAAAAAATTAATAAAAATTAATAATAATGGGGAAATATTTGTCGATAATAATTTTGATGCCGGTCCGACATTGAGCTTAATAGACCGTGATTTCCATTACGCGCTTCCCCATCAATCATAATTACAACATGTCAATAATAATATTAGCGTTTCGCACATGGACAAGCAACGTCAGAATTTTAAAAACAAAAACAACTAAACAAAACAAAAAAAAAACGGTAATGCCCTAAATGGAATGTCGAGCTGTGCATGAACACAATATATATATCGAATTAACCAATTTGTTCCGTAAATCTATTGGACAGTTTTAAATTCGAAATATCCGATTTTGGACTGGTATTTACAGTTGTGTAAATTGCGTTTCTGTTGACATTGAATTCTGTAATTAAATAGTTTCAAACACATCGGTAGGTATTCACTATGTTACATATTTCGTGGTAATCTCTTTATTTCGAATAACTTTTCCATTCATCTGTTATTTCAGTATTACTTTTTTTAGCAGTTTTTTTTTAATTGATTACAAAATACAATTTTTTCAATAATTCTTTGTTTTATCCTAGTCTATTGAATAGGCCTCGTGTTCCTTAGTGCTTCCAGATTTGACACATATACTACTATGCAGTTTTTGGTGTTAATCCTCATTTTTTTATAAACTTATTTCAATTTTCATGTTTTAGCTATGTATCTTTGTTGAAGACATTTATAGCAATAAAAAAAACATGTACCTTTACCAATTTTTTTTGGAAGTTTCTAAAACAATATGCTTTGTCTCGCTTATTTTTAAAAATATAATGCATGCGAACTATTCAATAATTTTGTACTCTTAATGATTTAAAAGAAGATTATATTTAACTACATATAGAACAATCATAAGTTTCTGTCATTTTTGCCCCAAGTTTTTTTTTCTCTTTCTCTCATCTCTGCATTTTACCATAACTATCCCATCCCTAATTGAAAGCACGTTTTTGCATATACAATATAATTACTTTGCATTCATCGCTTCTATGGTAATTGTAAATATCTCGCATAGTCCTGTTTAATTAAAAAAATCAAAACTTTTATTGATATATTATACATTTCTAGTTACGTATACACCATTTTGATCTATACACCTTTATTCGTCTTTTATGAAACTTAAACATTCCATCCTCTCAGAATTTAGAAGGTTAATTCTGTGGGTCTACTAATACAATTCTGTCTAACTTCAACAACTTTCGTATGGCAGTAAAAGAAATATAAAGGCTTTGGAATTTTTGACTTTCCAGTAATAGAAAAGTATAGAATTCTTTCATCTTCGAAATATTACTAAACTGATACAAATCATTTGATCCGAACCAAAGTTTTATCTAAAGACATTCCTGTTTAATTTAAAAAATAAATTTTTTTATCGATATATTATACATTTCTAGTTATGTACACACTATTTTGATTTATACATCTTTATTCATCTTTTATGCAACTTAAACATTCCATCCTCTCAAAATTTAGAAGGTTAATTCTGTGGGTCTACTAATACAATTCTGTCTAACTTCAACAACTTTCGTATGGCAGTAAAAAAAATATAAAGGCTTTGAAATATAAAGTTATTGGATTTTTTGGCTTTCCAGTAATAGAAAAGTATAGAATTCTTTCATCTTCGAAATATTACTAAACTGGTACAAATCATTTGATCCCAACCAACGTTTTATCTAAAGACATTTCAATCACCATTGTTTTTAACAATTCTGATAAATTTAAACATGAGCACGAACTATCCGGACAACGCAATATGTGATGAATGAGATGAAAGGTTGTGAATTTTAAGAAATTATCCTTTAGAATTATTATTATCCCAGTATATTGGCAGATGTTGTTCTTATTTTCACGTTTTGCGCAAAATTACAGAGGAAAAGTGAGCGATCTTGTATAAATTACGAGAGTTAATTCCTCGGTGGTTTCGAATCCAAGAACCGTGGACGGACGGGTTCGAGATAGGAGAGTCCATCGACGATATAAAAGTGCGACCGTTAGGTTTATAATATACATTTAAGGAATATCTATATTTATATTAACGAAAGTAACGGCACATTATTATGCAGCGAATTTCGTATCGATTTAATGCGACGTCTATGAATAAAATCATTTCCATCGCAACGTTCGTTCGTTCTTTGACGTCTTCCATTAATAATTGCAAAAATCCAGTGCATTCAGCGAATAATGAGACACACAGGGAGAGAAGAGAAGAGCACTCTCGAATAATAATGATACAGTAATAATTTTGCCAACTAGGTAGGTTTATTTGTATTTTCGCTAATATTGCTGCATTGTCAGGCATAAAGGTATCATGTTTTTTTTTTGTTTCAACTCAATCCAGTTTGCACTTGGAACTATACGTATGAAAGGGGGAATTATTATGGAAATACTGCATTTACTGGGACACATATATCATGGAAACTAATTTACAGATAAAGCTTTGTGCTTTTAG